TAAGTCAGTATAATCCGTAATTATGTCCCCACTGGATGCAACAAATGCCTCGTTTATAATGGGTTTTAATGTTTTTGTCTCTTCGCTCCGGCCGGACAGGGCATCACAGTATGGTGAGGGGCGTAACATTTCCGTCACACACTTGAGGTATTCGGCCAATCACAACGCACTGGATAGCTGGCCAATCAGAGCACACCTCGCTTTTCAGAACGATGAGCTTTGTAAAAATTGACGCGTTTCACAGAGGAGAAACAGTAATGTACAATATGTGGAAAATAATGTGTTTTGAACCTTAAACCGCATAAACATATTTCATTACACCAAATACACAAAATAATGTTCTTTTTAGCAGCATCATATGACCCCTTTAAAGGTGCCGTCACATTGATCGTTACTCAGCGAAATTTTGCGGTCGAAATCCAAGAATCGCGTAAAAAATTTCCCCACTGAAATTTCGCTCATTTTAAAGTTGGTCACACAAAAATTTGCCTTGCTAACAATTCGAAATCTGCTCGGTTTTAAAGTGACTTGTGAGCACTGCACTACAATAGACAATGGACCATTTTGAAAACAAAATTTGGCAGAAATATTGCTAATGTGGCCGCACCTTACAAAGAAAACAGAGTAATTCTAATTCTAGCTAACAGGGAACATTCACAGAACTTTGGCTAATGTTCTGGTTCTCTCAAAGTTATGAACAAACATTCTTCCAGAAACGTAAATAGAATGTTTATTCAAAGTTATCTGGTCATTTATAGACCTAATGTTCTCAACATGTTGCCACAATGTTATTTAAACATTGTTCAAGGAACTTTTTTTCCTGAAACAGTCTTTGAGCGACTGTAATTCAAAGTCATTACTCTTCGTGTGTAGATTATGCAGCGTACACAACCGCTGAAAGGTTTTATGAAGGTTAGTCCATGAGAAGCCATACTGGATCGTATATAGGCTCAGCCTTTTGGGTTTCCCTGTTGAAAAAAACAGCATATGCTGGTTAGGTATGTTTTGATGCTGGGATGCTGGTTTAAGCTGGTCCTTTTGCTGGTTTATGCTGGTCATGTGCTGGAAAAGGATAAGCATAAACCAGCAAAGGACCAGCTTAAACCAGCGAAGGACCAGCATAAACCAGCAAAGGACCAGCAAAGGACCAGCTTAAACCAGCAAAGGGCCAGCATAAACCAGCAAAGGACCAGCAAAGGACCAGCTTAAACCAGCAAAGGGCCAGCATAAACCAGCAAAGGACCAGCAAAGGACCAGCTTAAACCAGCAAAGGGCCAGCATAAACCAGCAAAGGACCAGCAAAGGACCAGCTTAAACCAGCAAAGGGCCAGCATAAACCAGCAAAGGACCAGCAAAGGACCAGCTTAAACCAGCAAAGGGCCAGCATAAACCAGCAAAGGACCAGCAAAGGACCAGCTTAAACCAGCAAAGGGCCAGCATAAACCAGCAAAGGACCAGCAAAGGACCAGCTTAAACCAGCAAAGGGCCAGCATAAACCAGCAAAGGACCAGCAAAGGACCAGCTTAAACCAGCAAAGGGCCAGCATAAACCAGCAAAGGACCAGCAAAGGACCAGCTTAAACCAGCAAAGGGCCAGCATAAACCAGCAAAGGACCAGCAAAGGACCAGCTTAAACCAGCAAAGGGCCAGCATAAACCAGCAAAGGACCAGCAAAGGACCAGCTTAAACCAGCAAAGGGCCAGCATAAACCAGCAAAGGACCAGCAAAGGACCAGCTTAAACCAGCAAAGGGCCAGCATAAACCAGCAAAGGACCAGCAAAGGACCAGCTTAAACCAGCAAAGGGCCAGCATAAACCAGCAAAGGACCAGCAAAGGACCAGCTTAAACCAGCAAAGGGCCAGCATAAACCAGCAAAGGACCAGCAAAGGACCAGCTTAAACCAGCAAAGGGCCAGCATAAACCAGCAAAGGACCAGCAAAGGACCAGCTTAAACCAGCAAAGGGCCAGCATAAACCAGCAAAGGACCAGCAAAGGACCAGCTTAAACCAGCAAAGGGCCAGCATAAACCAGCAAAGGACCAGCAAAGGACCAGCTTAAACCAGCAAAGGGCCAGCATAAACCAGCAAAGGACCAGCAAAGGACCAGCTTAAACCAGCAAAGGGCCAGCATAAACCAGCAAAGGACCAGCAAAGGACCAGCTTAAACCAGCAAAGGGCCAGCATAAACCAGCAAAGGACCAGCAAAGGACCAGCTTAAACCAGCAAAGGGCCAGCATAAACCAGCAAAGGACCAGCAAAGGACCAGCTTAAACCAGCAAAGGGCCAGCATAAACCAGCAAAGGACCAGCAAAGGACCAGCTTAAACCAGCAAAGGGCCAGCATAAACCAGCAAAGGACCAGCAAAGGACCAGCTTAAACCAGCAAAGGGCCAGCATAAACCAGCAAAGGACCAGCAAAGGACCAGCTTAAACCAGCAAAGGGCCAGCATAAACCAGCAAAGGACCAGCAAAGGACCAGCTTAAACCAGCAAAGGGCCAGCATAAACCAGCAAAGGACCAGCAAAGGACCAGCTTAAACCAGCAAAGGGCCAGCATAAACCAGCAAAGGACCAGCAAAGGACCAGCTTAAACCAGCAAAGGGCCAGCATAAACCAGCAAAGGACCAGCAAAGGACCAGCTTAAACCAGCAAAGGGCCAGCATAAACCAGCAAAGGACCAGCAAAGGACCAGCTTAAACCAGCAAAGGGCCAGCATAAACCAGCAAAGGACCAGCAAAGGACCAGCTTAAACCAGCAAAGGGCCAGCATAAACCAGCAAAGGACCAGCAAAGGACCAGCTTAAACCAGCAAAGGGCCAGCATAAACCAGCAAAGGACCAGCAAAGGACCAGCTTAAACCAGCAAAGGGCCAGCATAAACCAGCAAAGGACCAGCAAAGGACCAGCTTAAACCAGCAAAGGGCCAGCATAAACCAGCAAAGGACCAGCAAAGGACCAGCTTAAACCAGCAAAGGGCCAGCATAAACCAGCAAAGGACCAGCAAAGGACCAGCTTAAACCAGCAAAGGGCCAGCATAAACCAGCAAAGGACCAGCAAAGGACCAGCTTAAACCAGCAAAGGGCCAGCATAAACCAGCAAAGGACCAGCAAAGGACCAGCTTAAACCAGCAAAGGGCCAGCATAAACCAGCAAAGGACCAGCAAAGGACCAGCTTAAACCAGCAAAGGGCCAGCATAAACCAGCAAAGGACCAGCAAAGGACCAGCTTAAACCAGCAAAGGGCCAGCATAAACCAGCAAAGGACCAGCAAAGGACCAGCTTAAACCAGCAAAGGGCCAGCATAAACCAGCAAAGGACCAGCAAAGGACCAGCTTAAACCAGCAAAGGACCAGCATAAACCAGCAAAGGACTATCTTAAACCAGCAAAGGACCAGCATAAATCAGCAAAAGACCAGCATAAACCAGCAAAAGACCATCTTAAACCAGCATCCCAGCGTCAAAACATACCTAACCAGCATATGCTGGTTTTTTCAACAGAGTTGTTCTTGTTTAAATCCCAGCGTCAAAACATACCTAACCAGCATATGCTGTTTTTTTCAACAGGGCTGACAGCAAAATCCCAAACATCTGAACAAAGGGCCTGGTGTATTTGTATCTTCTCAGTGCCCACTGTGTGAACGCCCATGTGATCCCCCTTCCCCATCACCCTCCACAACACACACACACACACACACACACACACACACACACACACACAACACACACACAACACACACACACACAACACACACACACACACACACACACACACACACACACCCACTA